ACTTTCGGCCCCCCCTTCCGGCCCCCCCTTTTGGACATTTCTGGATCCGCCCCTGTGAAGTGTTAATGTAAGTAAACAGTTAGAAATAGAATCATAGCATTTGGACAACACTTACTTAAGTAGGCCAGGCAACCATCAATACAACAAACCTGAGCCCCCAATGCAGAAACGTATACGTTCAGAAAGGTGTATTATTATTATTTTTATTATATAGGCTTATCAAATAATATTTTTTTGCAGGACCAGAATGCCAAAAACACAGCGTATGGAAGAAAAATTTAGAGACTTCCTCGTAAAACTTAGTGGATACTTTTCTGGAATAAGAGTCCGTTGGTTGCGGTGTCTCTTATATGATCACATAGTATTAGCAGAGTTATCACGTAGTAACATTGATTTAATTGGCCTATTTAATAAACTAGCGGACCAAGATGAAATATCTTATAATAATGTAGATCTTTTGTCAGAAATTGCTGAACTGACAAAAGAGAAGCCTGCAATATCTCATGTAAATGCGTATAAAAAAGCTATTCAAAGACATTATGTCCCAATCACTGATCGTAAGGAATTAACACTATATCGAAAGAATTTGTTCAAAGCATTGAGAGCAGTAAAAGAAGATGAATTACAGTCCTTGGCTAACAGCTACCAACAAGATTATAGTGAATTTAAAAACATCTGGGATCTAGTATTCTTTTTGGAGACATACAAGCGGTTGGAAGATAAGCAAGACAAAATAAAAAAGTTTGGGGATCTTCTTAACCCAACGGCAAAAGATATCTTTCTAAGTAAGTATGTTCATTATATTAGAAGGCCAAAACTTTTGTCTCTCACCTAGGCCAAACGGACCCAAAAATGGTCGCTTTTTCATTGAAAATATCCCCCTCCCAAGAAGGCCCAAAATACTTCTACTATTACGTAAATGGCACATTTATAGCTGTGATTTTCATTATAAATATTGTGATATTTAAAATATAGATTTTTATCCCAAAGATTTTCACCCGAAATATAGCCCAATATGGTGAGTGCTATAAACCTTGAAATTCCTGACTAACCGACTCTGATTTCTAATTGTCACTCTACTTGGGGGCAGCACAACTTTTTTCAGACCTTCTTATCACACCAATTATTATATATTTATAAATGGAATTGATATTATCGTGATGGAATAGACAATAACTACATTTGAGTCAAGTATATGTGTAAAAAATTACAGCTATACTATATAATTATTATGATATTCATTATTATTTTCATTATTGATATCAAAAATATATTATTGTAATCATTATTATGATTATTATTAATAATAATAATTGTTATTATGATTATCATTATTAGTAAATATTGATAATTTATCATATGTTATTAGTATTATTCTTGTTATTGTTGTTAATAATGTTTTTTTCAAAAAAGACCTACTATTTTGTTAAATAAAGTATTCGTAAATTAAATCTACATTGGGAGAAATTGTTACTGTTGTTGTTATTATTGTCATTATTGTTTTATTAAAGATTATTTGCACAGGCCCAAAATATTTTTTTGAAAAAAGATAGAATCATTCAGTAATTCTCGATACTTAATGTGAAAACATTATTATTTCTTTGGGCTACTTCTTTAATGTTTAAAAAAAATTACATTTGTTCAATGAATATATGCATTTACACTTGTTTTCTGTTTGACAGGTAAATTCTCACAATTTTATATAGGCCTATGTTTATAAATTTTACAAACAAGTTTCATCTCATGGTAAAATATCTAAAATATTTTACACGAGATTAGTTTAATTCAAATACACACATGTTTTCTTCCATTTCAGATGGGTTGCGTACATCTTCTAGAAAGAGAAAAGGTACCGTATAATCACATTATCAACAGAATCTTCATCATCATCAACAACATCATCATCATTTTCATTATCAACATCATCATTATACTTATCATCTTTATCATCATCATCATCATTATTATTATTATTAAATATTAAATATTATTAATAAATATTAATAATATAACTATATTTCTTAGTATTATTGTTGTCGTTATAGTTCTTATAAATAAGCCCTTACAGTATTGTTATTCAATAAAGCATTCATGAAAATATGTCTAATTCAAATTTACGTCTGGAGGATTTATAGTTATTATTGTCGATGTCGCTGCTTTTAAAGTACATTCTTAATTATCTGTATCGGTCCCAAGTATTTCAGAAAAAGGCAATTATATAGCTATACCTGTTCTGTATACCGTCAATTTGAAGACATTGTTCTTCCTTGGCTTATTTATATTATTTTTGATATTTAAAAAATGACACTTGTACAATGAATATTCATGTATTTACATTTTTTCTGTTTAAAAACCATCTACAAAGTCTTAAGGTCAATTATGTTTATAAAAGTTACAAATCGGGTGTATCCCTACGAGATTAGTTGAATTCAAATACATTGCTGTTGTTTCAGATAGGTTATATCTAAAGTAAAAACATGTTATTATTAATATTAATATCATCGTCGTTATCGTCACAAGGAGCGCGATGGGTGCGTACGCACCCACCCCAACACCATCCCAAATAAGAAAAGGTCCACATTTATAGTTGAGAATGTACCGATTATAACATGATGTGACTTGTTTTTCTGCACACAGGTGAGCAATCGAGAGCGAGCAGCATCAGCAGACCAGACGATCCAGATGCATTGGGTACGTAGGCCTACGCATTTTCCCTCCAACACACATCATCCCATATACGACAAGGTCCACATTTTAAAGATAGTCGAAGATGTACCCACTATACAATTTATTTTCTATAATAAACATTTTTGTAAAACAATTAAAAATAGCATATAGAGATTTTCACGGAGTACGAGTTTGAAGTTCATTACTAGCCTTTTAGACTTTAATACAAGTTGCGATCCAAACGGCTCTGATCTTTGACCCCCGACGGGAATATTATTATCATCATCATTTTATCATTATCATATTTATTATCATCTTAACCAATACTCAAAAATATACATGGAAAAAATATTGAGATTTGTATAATTCAAAGCCCACTTCTTTTATTTTTCAGATGGATTAGGTACATCTAAAAGGAAAGACACATTTTCTAAAAGGAAGAAAGGTATAATCACATTTATTTTGTACGCACATCAGCTTTAAAAAGTAATGCCATTATCAATGTAGTTGGTAGTCGAATGTCATTAATATGATGCTAAATGATATTACGCAACTTGTTTTTTCTGCACGCAGGTGAGCAGACGGCAGCGAGAAGCAGCAACAGACCAGACGATTCAGATTCATCTGACGATATCTGCTTCGGGTAATTATAAGAAAGTAAATATATTCAAAACATTTTCAGGCAGACGAATCGTAATCATAGTGTATGTCAATAACAGGGAACTTTCGATTTAATGACAACGGTTAAGTAATGTAGTGGGACTTGATATAGAGCATTTCACCGAAGTCTCAATGCGCTCAAA